AGGACTACCCAACCGGTTGTAAGTCGAGGACTTTCCCTGCCCGGGAGCACCGCGTATGCGTGGTGCTGCTCCCTGCTCCAGCCGAGGCGTAGCTGGCAAGCGGCAGAGACGGCGCAGGCCGACCACCGGCTGGGCCACCAGCTGACCCAGCCCAAGGGAGGTAAGGCACCCGCCAGGCCCCACGTGCACCAGCAACCCTCCCTGCGCCCACCGGTCTCCCACCTCCCACCCCTGGCCCTCTTTTACTTACATTTTTAGTAGTTGCTCAGCAGGGAGGGGTGGAAACTTCTAGACAGCTCACCTTCGCTGCAGACAACTTGCAGCACCGTTTGCAGACTGCGGCTTTTGGCGGGCTCAGCAGGGCAGAGACAGCCTGGACAATTCCTATTGGCTTTTGAAAGCCAATAGAATTAGACTCTATTCAAGAGAGTCTATTCTATTGGCTTTCAAATGCCAATAGAATAAAAGGGAGTAGCACAGCTAAGGAAAAGGGAGGAAAAAATGGCGGACTGCATGGTTTGGTGACCCCCGTGAAATGGAATTCGACCCCAAATGGGGTCCTGACCCACAGGTTGAGAACCGCTGTACTATAGTGTAGTTAGTGTGTGTGTGTGTGTGTGTGTGCGTGTGTGTGTGTGTATACACTATATATATACTACTATAGCGTAGTGTGTGTGTATATATATATATATATATGTATGCATGTATATATATACTATATATATACTATATATATACTACTATAGTGTAGTGTGTGTATATATATACTGCTCAAAAAAATAAAAGGAACACAAACGCATTTTTGCTTTTATTCTCAATATATGTATATATATATATATATATATATATATATATATATATATATATATATATTTGTGTGTATGTGTTTGTGTGTGTGTGTGTATCTGTATGTACACACACACACACACACACACACACACTTAGAACAGTCTTTGTCATCATCCAGAAAGAACAAACACAAGATAGTCAGGAACCCAGGAACATCATAAGGTAAATTAAAAAGTATACAGAACACACTGAAGAGAAAAAGGGAAGCCCCCCCCCCCTTCAGATATATATAAAGAAACTACAAGTTAGTGTCTCCGACTTCATCTGGACAGCTGCTGTGCAATTCCTTGACATATTCCCTACTGGTTGAAGGCAGAGGGACCTGAGTTTCTATTTGAAAGCCACCTGCAAACTCAGTTTGTACGCAATGGTTTATGCCAGGGGTCTTCAAACCTGGCCCTTTTATGACTTGTGGACTTCAACTCCCAGAACTCCTCAGCTGAGGAATTCTGGGAGTTGAAGTCCACAAGTCATAGAAGGGCCAAGTTTGATGAGCCCTGGTTTATGCTTTAGAGAATCTCTGGTGGTTTGATCATAGTTTATTTCTCTAAATGTCTCTCTCCTCGAGGTTTTTAAGAAAAGATTGGAGAACCATTTGTCTGAAATGCTATCGAGTCTCCTGCTTGAGCGGGGGGGGGTGGACTAATAGACCTCCAAGGTCCCTTCCAACTCATAATGATGATGAAATGATCTGAATTTTCTAAGACCTTTCTTATAAATATCTGCAGCAACCCACTGAAGCTGACACCATCCTCTCAGTATCCTGAACCCAGACTCTTCCAGATAATATCTCTGGGCTAAATAAATCACAACTTCGCCTTGGCGGTCCTCAATTTGCAATCATTCATTTAGTGACCATTCAATGTTACAACGGCACTGAAGAACATGACTTATGACAATGTTTCATTCTTACGACCACTGCTGCAGCCCCATAGTCACATGATCCAACTTAGGACTGTGTTTTACACTTGTGCTGCAGCATCCCCATGGTCATGTGATAGTCAGATGTTGGCCACTGACTCATATTTATGACACAGTCACAGTGTCTCAAGGACAACTGATCACCTTTTGTGACCTTCTGACAAGCAAAGTCAACACAGAAGCCAAGCTCACTTAACAACCGGGTCACTAACTGAATAACAGCAGTAATTCAGTTGCCAAGAAAGGTCGTAAGATGGGGCAAAATCCAGTTAACAAATGTCTAACTTAGCAACCAAAATTTGGGGCTCCGTGGTGGACGTAATTGGAGGATTTCCTGTGTTTTCCAAGGTGGATGTTGGATACACGTACTTGCAGTGGCAACTGACAGTCACTTCTCACACACCCCTCAGTTGTTTTTGCTGATTTTGAACAGAGGCACCTGAACCCAACCCCTTAATTCCAGAAGAAAATTACTATAGGTAGAAATACAGATTAGGGGAGACCTGGCTCATAAACAGCAACTGTGAGAGGGACCTTGGAATCCTAGTGGACGATCCCTTGACCATAAGCCAGCCGTGTGCAGCAGCAGCCAAAAAATCTAATGCAATCCTGGGTTGTATAAACAAAGGCATAGAATCAAGGTCACACAAGGTATTAGTGCTGCTTTATAAAATCCTAGTAAGGCCACCCCTGGGATACTGCAGCCAATTTTGGTCACCCTATCACAAAAAAGATGTTGAGAGTTTGGAAAAAATTCAGAGAAGAGCAACTAAGATGATCCAAGGCCTGGAGACTAAAAAATGCGAAGAACGGCTGCGAGACTTGGGTCTGGCTAGTCTAAAGAAAAGAAGAAATAGGGGAAACATGATAGCAGCGTTCTGGTATTTGAGGGGCTGCCACAAAGAAGAGGGGGGTCAAACTATTCACCAAAGCACCGGAAGGCAGGAAAAGAAACAATGGTTGGAAACTGACCAAACAGAGAAGCAACCTGGCATTAAGGAGAAACTTCCTAACAGGGAGGACAATCAACCAGTGGAACAGCTTGCATCCAGAAATCGTGGGTGCTCCATCACTGGAGGTTTTCAAGAAGTGATTGGGTAGTCACCTGTCTGAGATGGTATAGGTTCTCCTGCCTGAGCAGGGGGCTGGACTAGAAGACCTCCAAGGTCCCGTTCTATTCTATTCTATTCTATTCTGTTCTATTCTATTCTATTCTATTCTATTCTATTCTATTCTATTCTATTCTATTCTATTCTATTCTATTCTATTCTATTCTATTCTTATTCTTTCCTATATTCTGTTCTGTTCTGTTCTATTCTATTCTTATTCTTTCCTATATTCTATTCTATTCTATTCTATTCTATTCTATTCTATTCTATTCTATTCTATTCTATTCTATTCTATTCTATTCTATTCTTATTCTTTCCTATATTCTATTCTATTCTATTCTATTCTATTCTATTCTATTCTATTCTATATTCTGTTCTGTTCTGTTCTGTTCTATTCTATTCTATTCTTATTCTTTCCTATATTCTGTTCTGTTCTGTTCTGTTCTGTTCTATTCTATTCTGCCAGCAGGACATTAAAAGACAAGATATCTTCAATCCTATTTTCCTCAATGTAACAGCTCTGGGGACGGGGAGGGGGGGAGGACACACCGCTGTTATGAATTAAAAGGGCTATTTTCTTCTGCGTGCTGTAAGGTAACCCAATGCCTTGGGATGGAGCATTCAGGCATGTTTAAACTTAAATCGGCTGGTTAATTTGAGACGTGTTTGCTAAATGGCCCTAGGAGCGGATTTCACAGCCGTGGCAACAGAGCTGGTACCTTCTTCTCAAAGTCACTAAAGAACGGGGGGGGGGGGTGAGGAAAAAAAAAACCAGATTGTCAACAGCGGCTTTCTCTAGAGCTAATGATGTTAAAAAAAATTAGTCGACAAGCGTTTTTGGGTCCATTTAACAAACCAGCCCTACTGTTTTAGAAGTCTGGAGGTCTCATCCTTCCTTTTTAAAGCCAAGAGCCCTCTCAGCCTCCTCTGAAACACACACACACACACAAAGACACACACACAAAGACACACACACACACGCACGGGGGGGACACACACACACACAGACCCACAAAATAAGCTGAATGGTTAGACCGATTCATCAACGCAGCCTCCTAAATGCCTGAATAAGTCAATTGTATGCTCCCGTATAGATATCCCTGCAAATTTGGTCACAAAGATGCCATTAGCAACAGCATATGCTAAACACCTTTTTTTAAAAAAAAAAAAAATGAGGGAGAGAAAACCCAACAGGCATCATCTCCAAAATCTCCACCTTATCATATTTGCAAGCATTTTTTTTTCCGTTTGTGCAAAGGAAAACAAAACAAAACAAAACACCGGCAAAGGAGAGAGAGAGGGAGAGGGATGGAGGGAGGGAGAAAGAGAGAGAGAGAGAGAGAGGGAGAGAAAGGGGGAGAGAGAGAGAGAGAGGGGGGGGAGAGAAAGGGAGAGAGAGAGAGAGAGAGAGAGAGAGGGAGAGAAAGGGGGAGAAAGGGGGAGAGAGAGAGAGAGAGAGGGAGAGAAAGGGGGAGAAAGGGGGAGAGAGAGAGAGAGAGGGAGAGAGAGAGGAAGAGAGAGAGGGAGAAAGGAAGAGAGAGAGGGAGAGAGAGGGACAGATAGAGGGGGGAGAGTGAGAGAGGGAGAGAGAGGGAGGGAGAGAGAGGGGGAGAGAAGGAGGAAGAGGGAGAGAGGGAGAAGAAAGAGGGAGGGAGAGGGAGGGAGAGAGAGAGGGAGAGAAGGAGGGAGAGGGAGAGAGGGAGAAGAAAGAGGGAGGGAGAGGGAGGGAGAGAGAGAGGGAGAGAAGGAGGGAGAGGGAGAGAGGGAGAAGAAAGAGGGAGGGAGAGGGAGAGGGAAGAAGAGGGAGAGGGAAGAGGGATAAGAAAGAGGGGGAGAGGGAGGGAGAGAGAGAGGGAGAGAAGGAGGGAGAGGGAGAGAGGGAGAGAGGGAAAGGAGAGAGAGGAGAGAGGAGAGAAGGAGGGAGAGGGAGAGAGGGAGAAGAAAGAGGAGGGAGAGGGAGGGGAGAGGGGGAGAGAAGGAGGGATAGGGAGAGAGGGAGAAGAAAGAGGGAGGGAGAGGGAGGGAGAGAGAGAGGGAGAGAAGGAGGGAGAAGAAAAGGGAGGGAGAGGGAGGGAGAGAGGGGGAGAGAGAGAGGAGAGGAAGAGAGGAGAGGGAGGGAGGGAGAAATAGAGAGAGGGGAGGGAGGGAGAGAGAGGCACACACCAACACACAGGCTTGTCCGTAAGAAGTGAAATGGGATGAAAAAGTCGAAGAGGGTTCAAGTCACCAAACCCAATCCCAGCAGTGCAGTATATGGTGCTCCTGAAACGCTGGAAGGAAGACGACACGTTTCCACCCACCCACGTCCGAATGCCAACCTGGCCTTTTTTGCACTTGGACCCTTGAGACAAAAGAGAAGGGGGGGGAAGGAGGGGGTGGAGGGGGCACGGAATGGCTGGCTCCCTTTTGCTACTGCAGCTGTTGCTCTGTGTGTGTGCCATGCATGTGTGCATATGTTGGGGTAACAGCCAGCAGGGCTGAAGCCTTTTTTTTCCCCCCATTTCATCAGTGAACGTATCTCCCTTTACTGGCTCGACTAAAATGTTGGTTTTATGCCCACCCCTTTTCCCATTTGCCCGTCTCTGGTGAAGCACAGCGCAGGCTGTGATGATCGTGAACGGCTTACGACACTCAGCGAGCAGCAGGACCCTCTGCAAGTGTAGCTTCTTCCTACTGGGGCTGCAAGGAAGCCTCTCTCTCTTTCTCTCTCTCTTTCTGGCTTTCTCTCTTTTTTTTTCACCCCTTCTCCCTCTGCTCTTAAGCATCTTCTTGACAAGCCAAGGGAAGCAGGAATGGAAAATCTAGCCATTTTGAGCCCGTCCGGTTGGAAGATGGATTTTAAGCTGCCTCGTACAAAGATGCTCGCCGTTCCTCTCCAATGAAGGATGCTAAAGGGACTGTCGGATGCTGGGGAGCTGTCCAGAGTTTTGGAAGGGGGTCTCTCCTTCTTTCTCAGGTGTATTTTTTTTCCCCTCCTGCCCTCTCCCTCATCACGACACCGACACCCCGTACGAACTGCAGAGAAAAAGGACAGGGAGAGGAAGAGAATGGAAGGAAGGACGATCAACCGTGGTGATGCCCGTACTTCTCAAACTTGGTGCTGGGAGTCAGCTTCCAAATAAGGAGGAGGAAGGAGAGAAGAGAGAAAAAAAAACCCAGCAAGGAAAGAAAAAAAAAGATAGCTGGACATGCCTCTCGCCCTCCGAGATGAAGCAAAGTAGACATTGTGCGCCTGCCAGCCAAAAGCTGAAAGCGTCCGAATTTGTAGCAACAGAGAGCTCTTTTTAAGCCCTGCATATAATTAAGTCAAACACAAAGGAAGCTGCTGAATGGAGCTTGTCAATCTCTGCAACAGGGTGGGTAAGACACTTTTTAATTTCATTCTCTCGTGGAGAGGGGTGCTTTTCCCTCCCCCCCCATAATTGTTTTCGTCTTTGCCGCGGTATCTAAAAATGGACAGATTCTCGTGTACCTTTTGAATGCTTCTGAACTTTAAAAGGCTGTAATACAGAGTCTTGCATGCTGCATTTATGCCCCCCCCAAAAAGCCTCACCAAGCCCAAGATTTGGCCTGATGACTCTCTTATTTTTGCCTGTGCCCGTCCCCTTGCCCTTTCGCTGACATATGGTGGGATGTAGAATTTATACAGAGAAAAGCAAGGGACCAAGTCAAAGATTCAATGGACTTTCTCAAGCACATTTGGGGATATTCTCGCTAATGGATTTCCTTCTCATTGGGGTCTGTTTAAACTGGCTGCTGAAAAAGCCCCCAGGATTGATCCTGTGTAGCCTGGGTGTTTTGTTAAAAATGCTTCCAGCCGTGCACACTGGGTGTCCGCAGCTTTGTCGGTGCGAGGGCAGGCTTTTGTACTGCGAGTCGCTGAACCTCACCGAGATGCCGCACAGCCTGTCGGGCGTGATGGGTTTGTCATTGCGGTACAACAGCCTTTCGGAGCTGCGTGACGGACAGTTCACTGGGTTAACACAACTCACGTGGCTCTATCTGGATCACAATCACCTTTACTCCGTCGAGGCACACGCTTTTCAGAAGCTCCGGCGAGTGAAAGAGCTCACGCTGAGTTCCAACAAGATCACCCAACTGTCCAACAGCACTTTCCGGCCGATGCCAAACCTGCGCAGTGTGGATTTATCCTACAACAATCTGCAGGCTTTGGAGCCGGACCTGTTCCACGGCTTGCGCAAGCTCACCACGTTGCACATGCGGTCCAATGCCCTTAAGTTCGTGCCTGTTCGGATCTTCCAAGACTGCCGCAGCCTCAAGTTTCTCGACATAGGATACAATCAGTTGAAGAGCCTGGCTCGCAACTCTTTCGCGGGCTTGTTCAAACTCACCGAGTTGCACCTGGAGCACAACGACTTGGTGAAAGTCAACCTGGCCCACTTCCCCAGGTTGCTCTCTTTGCACTCTCTCTGTCTCCGGAGGAATAAAGTCACCCTTGTGGTGAATTCCTTGGACTGGGTATGGAAATTGGAAAAGATGGACCTCTCCGGCAACGAGATCGAATACATTGAACCTCACGTCTTCGAAAGCGTACCTCAGCTCCAGTCCCTTCAACTGGATTCCAACCGGCTCACCTACATCCACTCCAGGATCCTCGATTCCTGGAAGTCTCTGGTTAGCATCAGCCTGTCGGCCAACGCCTGGGATTGCGGCCGAAACATCTGCGCCTTGGCGTCTTGGCTCAGCACTTTCAAAGGCCGCTACGACAACAACTTGCTCTGTGCCACCCCTGAATACGCACAGGGCGAGGACGTCTTGGATGCTGTTTATGCTTTTCACTTGTGTGAAGATGCGACGGACCTCACCACCAATGGGGATCTCCTCTCTGCCGTGGTCAACCAGAGCGACCCGACCGCCGGCTATAGTCCTTCAACTCTGAACTCTGACCTGCGGGAGACCGAAGGGGATGGAACCACCGACGCTGTGACCCTCACCGTCCCCAACGAGAAGACTGAGAATGCCGTCCAGATCCACAAGGTGGTGACAGGGACAATGGCCCTCATCTTCTCCTTCCTCATTGTGGTTTTGATACTGTACGTCTCCTGGAAGTGTTTCCCCGTCAGCCTCAGGCAACTGAGGCAGTGTTTTGTGACCCAGCGTCGGAAGCAGAAACAAAAACAGACTATGCATCAAATGGCTGCCATGTCAGCCCAGGAATATTACGTTGATTACAAACCCAACCACCTCGAAGGAGCTCTGGTGATTATAAACGAATATGGATCCTGTACGTGCCACCAGCAGCCAGCAAGGGAATGTGAGGTGTGATTTTAATTTTTATTTTTTTTTCCCCCTCCAATGGGGGGGAAATTTCACTTGGTGTGTGCAACCAAACAGCAGTGGTCAAATTAAAAAAAAAAAAAAAGACAGTTCAATAAGGGTTGACTTGAGCTTATCAGGACCTTTGTGTGCCGAAAATGTTTTGTTTTTGTTTTGTTGGGTTTTTTTTTTTTTTAAAAAAAGGAGCTGTCCCAAAAGACAGAACACGTTAGCTTTATTGTGGCTAAAATCCTTCAAGACGTTCAACTTTCTGAAATGAGTTTATTTCCTATAACAGCTCTCTGTGAAAGATCGGTCGATAATCAGAAAAAGCAAGTGTAAAAATAAAAAAGTAACAATTGCTGATTTTTTTTTTTGTAAAACCACCACCACAAAAAAAAAATGTTTAAAAAAAATAAAAGCAAAAATAGCATTTACAATTTTTACAGGCTGTTGTACAGTATCTGAATTCTTAACTCTGTTGGGATGGGAAGGTGGATTTAATTTCTCTCACCCAGACTGCAAAATCTGGGCTCCAAAACAAGCCATAATGAAACAGAAACTTAAAGGAAAGGAATGGCTTGGTTGAGAATTATGTGGCTAGTTGTACTATGTGACTGTTGAATTCAATAGCACAATGTTGAAAACAGTGTGTTTGATCTCAGTCTGCTATGTAATCTATCATTATATGCACTCTTAATTTGCACCTCCCACAGCTTTGCCCCGTGTTCAAAAGACAGGTCTCTTGGGCGCAAAGGTACCCCAAAATTTATTTAGGACACCCCCCCTCCCCGTCCCAACCCAAAGCCTTGTGTTCTCAGCTTGCATTAAAAAACCAAAATGATTTCCATCAAAGTTTCACCATTGGAGATGTGGGATGGAGTTAGCACTGTTTTCCTCGGGTACCCCCTATTTTTCAGATTTTATACTCATAATTGCACAGCTCAGAGAGATGCAGAATTTTAAACTATGTGGCCTACCGAGCATTGAGGCAAGACCACAAACCTATTTGCACTGGGGGGAAACTCTTGATTTGTGTTGTTCACAAAGGTTCGGGGCAATCTTAATCCAGCAGGCCACCTTTGACCATAGGACAATTCGCATTTAGCTAGGGTTGATCTTAGTTTCTCACCAGAAAGATTCAAATAGACCCCTGCATCCCGTCGCCTAATCGACAGGCTGATACCTGGCTAATTGATATGCTTAAAATAATAATAAAAAACCAAAAAAAAAACACACAACGAAACACAATTTACTTGTCGTTCTAACCGTTAGTATAACTAAGTGGAAGCAACTGTTAGCCTGGTGATCATCAAAGCTATTTCACTGCCTTTTTTCCTGTCCTTTTTTCAAAAAGGTCTGGATGATAACTGTTCTCTGTTGCTTCTGTTTACGACCAAGTCAGCAAACAATCGTTTAAACCCTTCCAGGAGCCGGGCACTTCTTTAAGGCTGCTGCTTGCTTTTGAACAAAAACTAAGACAACAACAACAACAAAAATGCAAACAAGAGAAGACAGGTGTCACTCACACTCAGCTTGATATCAATGTCTTCGTATTTGGATGAAAAAAAAGGAGGGGGGAAATTTGGTAGCACAGACAGACAGATTGGGTTGGCGTTTTCAAAAAAAAAAAAAAAACGGCAGATGCAAAGGCTGGGGAATTCTCTTCCATTTAATTAACTTAAAATGTCGTTGCTTTGAAGGAGGAAGGATAGACTTTCTGCCTGGGCTGAGACAGACTTCCCTTCTCATTCTTGCCCTGTTCCTTTCTCCTCTCCAACAAGACAACCAACGCCTTGTAAATCAGAACTTTCCTTATGCCTGCCCCCAAAATTGGTCTTGTGAGGTTTTTTTTTTCTCTTTTTTTTTGACAACAGTTGAGTTCTCCAAGACACTTTTTGGCACCGTCAAGAAGCTACTGATCTCCCACCAAGTGATCCAAGGAGCTTTGAAATGACATGGCAAAGCCCCACCTCGGATTAAATGTGCATTTCCCCCCCACTACTTGCTACACTATATTTCACTAATGGCTTTGCTGTTCTGTAGCACGATCATGGACAGCCTCCTGCTGGAATAAAGATGGAATATACCTCTCTCTCTCTCTCTCTCTCTTTTTTTTTTACTTTTTTCTGAGGGATATGCATAATTATCTATCCCCCCACAGCACCAAGAAGGAATCATATCCATTTGATTTCCCACAGCAAGCTTCCTTCTTTGATACTGTGGGTGTCACACAGCTCTTACAATGCTCCAGAGATCCATGGTTTTTATTTCTGGGCCCCTTTGAACATACATGTATTTACTTATCTATGGATCAATCAATTACATTGCTAATTCATCTAGGAACTAAGGCCACCGAGATAGATTGCAAAAACGACCGAGTACTTCCAGAGTTTTTATATATCTAAAAAAGCATTGCTGTTCTTCAAGGCCAATAAAATCCAGTTTTTTGGTTTTTCTTTTTTTTTTTTTTTTTTTTTTTTTTTTTTGCTTTTGGGCACCCTTAATCATATATTTATTCACTGGAACAATTAATCAGTGGAACTACCTGCCTGCAGAAGGGGTGAATGCTCCAACACTGGAAGTTTTTAAGAAGAGACTAGACAGCCATTTGTCTGAAATGGTATAGGCTTTCTTGCCTGAGCAGGGGGTTGGACTAGATGACCTCCAAGGTCCCTTCCAACATTATTATTATTGTTGTTATTTATTATTATTATTATTATTATTATTATCGTCATCATCATCATTATTTTTATTATTATATCTATTGGTTAATTAATTACCTTGCTAATTCATCTAAGAACTAAAAACCCCTAGACAGATTGCAAAACTACTGAACACTTCCAAAGTTTGTTTGTGTGTGTGTGTGTGTGTGTGTGTGTGTGTACACACACATACACACACATATACATTATACATACACACACACACACACACACACACATATGCATTGTATGCTCCCTCAAAAGCAACAAAAATCCATGTTTTTACTTCTGGCCCGCTTTAATCTTATATCTACTTATGTATCTATTGATCAATCAATTACATTGATAATTCATCTATGAACTTAAGGCCCCCTAGATAGATTCTAAAACTACTAAACGCATCCAAAGTTTATATATATATAAAAAGCACCGTATGCTGCCTTAAACAAATACAATCTACTTTTTTTTAACTTCTGGGTACCCTTAGTCACATATCCATTTACTTATTTCTCTATTGATTCAATAATTAGCATGCTACTTCATCTAGGAATTAAGCCCTCCCCCCCAGATAGACTGCAAAACTATTGAACATATCAAACGTGTTTTTTTTTAAATAAAATAAAGCATTCTATGCTGCCTCAAAGCAAATCAAATCATGGAAACAAGGGTGATCCGTTACTAAATCATCAAGACGAAGAAGAAATAACAAAATGTGCCTAAACGATAGGTAGCGGAGGGGGAGAATAACTTCGCCTATTGTTCAGAAGAGGTTTTTCTTTGCACATTTATTAAAAAGGGCATGTTATTTGAGAAAGCTCTCAATGAATTTTTTCTCTAAAATCAAGCTTATCTCACCCTCTCTCTCCAAAATGGACCACAGGGATATTTCTTATGGCCTCCAGCTGCTAGAGGAATGAATTGCTGGTAGAAAAGTCATTTTCACCAGCCTGAAGAGATGTGGCTGTATGGAACTGGACACCTTCGGTGTAATGTTTCAGCGTGTATCGATTAAAATAAAGTTATCCGGAAAGAATTTGCATTTGTACGTATGCAGGAGCGAAATGTTCATTCATATATATATATATATATATATATATATATATATATATATATATATATATTTGAGTAGGTAAAATGACCTTGCTCTCCCTTACATTTAGGTGGATCTCTCTCTCTCTCTGTGTGTGTGTGTGTGTATCCAGGTTTTTGTGATGAATTCATTCCTTTTGCCTCTCAGCCTGGAGACCTAAAATGTGCTAAAAATAATCGTAAACTGCTCTTCCAGCCCTTATGGGGCTTGTTCTTATCATTTCACTGAAAGAAACAAGTAAATTTCAAAGCTGTTTTGGATCAAATGAAAGTGTAACAGAATGGAAAAACAGCAAGGTTTTGCATAGGATAAGTTTGAATGCATGGGATCAGTTAAACAACAACAACTTGTCTCAATTTCTTGCATTGCTAGTGGTGTCTGTCTGACACCAAGGAGAGGGGGGAAGCTGCTACTTCCGCTCTCATGGAAATTAAGGGCAGAAATGATTTTAAAATTGAGGACCAAGAGAGGTAGCCTCATTTTCAGATAGCCTGAAAGAAGACTGCAGACATTTGATCATGACTTGAAAGAATAAAATAGGATAGGATAGGATAGGACAGGACAGGACAGAGTAGAGTAGAGTAGAGCAGAGCAGAGCAGAGCAGAACAGAACAGAACAGAATAGAAAAAATGGAATGGAATGGAATGGAATAGAAGTAAGAACAGGAAAGAATAAGAATAGAATAGAATAGAATAGAATAGAATAGAATAGAATAGAATAGAATAGAATAGAATAGAATAGGAGAATGGAAATAGAATAGAATAGAATAGAATAGAATAGAATAGAATAGAATAGAATAGAATAGAATAGAATAGAATAGAATGGAATAAGAAATTAGAATAGGATAGGATAGGATAGGATAGGATAGGATAGGATAGGATAGGATAGGATAGGACAGGACAGGATAGGACAGGACAGGACAGGATAGTAGAGTAGGAGAATAGAGTAGAGTAGAGTAGAGTAGAAGAGAAGCTGGAAGGGACCCTGGAGGTCATCTGGTCCAGCCCCTGCTCAAGCAGAAGTTTAAACTGCATTTAAACAAAGAGTTTTTCTGGGGATTTTTTTTTTCTTTTTTTTTTTTTTGAGAAGGCTTCATATCTACAAGTGGTCCTTGACTTACGACCGACATTGCTTTCCATACTCAAGAAGACACTTATTAAGGGAGTTCTACCCTATTTTACGGTTTTTCGCGCCACGGTTTTGAAGTGAATCGCTGCAGTTGTTAAGTTAGTGACACGGTCATTAAGTGAATCCCGCTTCCCCACTGACCTTGCTCGTCAGAAGGTCACAAAAGATGGTCATGTGACCGCAGGACACTGCGACCGTCGTAAATAGGAGTCCGTTGCCGAGCGTCTGAATTCTGATCACGTGACCCTGGGGAATGCCGCAGCGGTCGTTAAGTGTGAAAAACGGACGTAAGCCGCTTTTCTCGGTGCCGTTGTAACGCTGAACAGTCGCTAAACGAACCGTTGCAACTTGAAGACAATCTGCACAGCCCTCTTTGCAATACCAAAGAGTCTTTGCACATACAACTCCTACCCCACCACCAGTTTCAGAGAATTGCTACCATGGGTAACTCTGTATTTGCATTTCATGAGCGGGAATAACGATGTCGTAAATCAAGCAGAAGATGGCAGTGGTCAGGAAAGGGATAAATTTAGAACTGAATCCACAGGCTCTGGGCTTGGTCGTGCAAGCAAAGGTCTCTGAGAATTGCCACTTAGCTCAGGAAATAAGACAAAGGTGTGGGGGGAGGGGGGGTGGCTGCTTTTCTGTGGTAAGAAAAAGGATTTTGGAGTAAGGCTCAAAGGTGCTTTTTCAAAAGGCAACTGGACTGTTTTTTGACTTGGGGAGGAGGAGGAAGGAGAAGGAAGAGGAAGGAGAAGGAGGAGGAGGAGAAGAGGAGAAGGAGGAGGACGAGGAGAAAAGGAGGAAGAAGAGGAAGAGGAAGAAGAGGAGGAGGAGGAGAGGAAGAGGAAGAAGAGGAAGAGGAAGAAGAGGAGGAGGAGGAGGAAGGAGGAGGAAGAAGAAGAGGAAGGAGAAGGAGGAGGAGGAGAAGAGGAGGAAGAAAAGGAAGAGGAAGAAGAGGAGGAGGAGGAGGAGGAAGGAGAAGGAGGAGGAGAAGAAGAGGAGGAGGAAGAAGAGGAAGAGGAAGAAGAGTAGGAGAAGGAGGAAGAAGGAGGAGGAGGAGGAGGAAGAAGAGGAGGAGGAGGAGGAGGAAGAGGAAGACGAGGAGGAAAAGGAGGAAAAGGAGAAGAGGAGGAGGAGGAAGAGGAGGAGGAGGAAGGAGAAGAAAAAGGAGGAAGGAGAAGGAGGAGAAGAGGAGGAAGAAGAAAAGGAAGAAGAGGAGGAGGAGGAGAAGGAGGAAGGAGAAGGAAGAGGAGGAAGAAGGAGGAGGAGAAGAGGAGGAAGAAGAGGAAGAGGAAGAAGAGGAGGAGAAGAGGAGGAAGAGGAAGAGGAGGAGGAGAAGGAAGAGGAAGAAGGAGGAAAAGGAAAAGGAGAAGAGGAGGAGGAAGAGGAAGAAGAGTAGGAGGAGGAAAAGGAGGAGGAGGAGAAGGAAGAAGAGGAAGAGGAGGAACTGGAGGAGGAAGAGGAAGAGGAGCAGGAGGAACTGGAGGAGGAAGAGGAAGAGGAAGAGTATGAAGAAGAAGAAGAGGAGGAGGAGGAGGAGGAAAAACTGTAGGAAAAAAAGTAGAGTTGTGAAAAATAATGCAATATTCTATTGCAAAGCAGGAATTGGACTGGTTGGTAAGAAAAACTCAGTTAATACAAGATGCAATTCCTCCCCCCCCCCTTAAGGTGCTTGTATCTGATGTGATGCTGCACTAAGATCACACCTTCTTTGGTATTCAGTCCCTCACTTTCCATTTTTCTTTCCCATTTTTTTTTTTTTTTTGGTAACCATTCACATTTTCTAATATTGATCGCCTGTGGCTGCTCTAGTTTCATCATTAGGCCAGGTAATTTTTATTCATTCTTTTCATGCTTTCCTCATTTCTAAGAGAGCTAAAAAAAAAAAAAAAAAAGCACAGAGTATCTAAAAGAGAAATGCAGCCTGGTGCATTCATCAATCTGTTCTAAGCAAAAGCACTACACCACAAAATTTGATGAAATGCAATAGATAGATAGATAGATAGATAGATAGATAGATAGATAGATAGATAGACAGACAGACAGACAGATAGGGATGGATGATGGATGGAGAGAGAGACAGAGAGAGAGGCAGACAGCTGGATGGATGGATAGAGAGAGGGAGAGAAGAGATTGAGACAGACAGACAGACATTCTGATCCACAAACTTCAAGAGATCTTTATTTAAGTTAATTTGTGTTAAAATACAAACCCAAATGAGGGGGGGGGGAGAGAGAGAGAAAGCGAGATAGAGAACAATTGGGACAGAAAGAGCAATGTGTACTTTACTCTACTGGGAAGGGTGTATTTCAAGACTCAAGACTCATATTGATCCAAAACAGCTACTGATTTCAGTGTCTCTTCATGGAACTTGCAAAACAGAGGCCCAAAAATTGGTTTTCAGGAGAGAGGGGAGGGAGAGAGGGAGGAAGGGAGAGGAAGAGAGAGAGGAAGGGAGAAAGGAAGAAAGAGAGGAAGAGGGAGGGATAGAGAGGGAGAGAAAAGGAGAGGGAGGGAGAGAGGGGGGGAGAGAGGAGAGAAAGGGAGGGAGGGAGAGGGAGAGAGAGGAGGGAGAAAGGAAGAGAGAGAGGAAGAGGGAGGGATAGAGAGGGAGAGAAAAGGAGAGGGAGGGAGAGAGAGGGGGGAGAGAGAGGGAGGGAGAGAGGAGAGAGAGGGAGGGAGAGAGGGAGAGAGAGGGGGGAGAGAGAGGGAGAGAGGA